GTGTGTGTGTGTGTGTGTGTGTGTGTGTGTGTGTGTGTGTGTGTGTGTGTGAGTGTGTACATATGCTGAATGGTACATATTGTCATCTGCTCTCCAAACAGAACAATATATTTTGACACCATTTGTGTATAAATATATCCATACATGTATTTACATAGCTGGGGTATTGACAAAATTAGTCTATCTTTGGTGAATTATTTTGAAAATACGGATGTTGTGCTTGTTCCTTTTCCTGTTGGTGCAACGYGATCTTTGAAGATTGACTCTAGTGTTTGACAAAAATAGGATCAAATCTAATTTTGTCAAATCGCCATCCACTCACCGCCGCCCTGTGCCACCGTGCAAAGCCAGTGTAAATATTCTCATTGATTATAATGTTTGCGTATTTGCTGTRGAGGTCGGACCACAGYGAAGCAGGKYGGAATCGCATCTAGTGTACATTAGGGGTAACTGCTAACCTAACACATTCTCACTCCCGACTTGTCAACATATTGGYGCTTTTCCAAAGTTCCCTCTGCRTCTTATTTTGAYGCGTCAGGTGACACCCTTSCATCAGTCCTTGCCRCCCGCGGCTTTTCCGGGTTGYGCCTTTGGGTCGGGGGTCTGAGGTTAACATGAGGGAGCAGGATAAATGGTTAAGTTTAGGTACTGGGCTCAGGGATAGGATGTCYACAGCWAATATTAGACAATTTTAGCCTTTGGAACACGTAGTATATGTGAATTTCCTACATTTTCTAAAAATGGCCAGTTTTATGTATCAGGGTTAATGGTTAATTTTAGGTACTAGGGTCAGGGACAGGATATCTAAAGTGAATAAAGGTAATTTTAGGCTTTGGGATGGTAGTTTATGTGCATTTTCTACACTTTCAGAAATTATGACAACAGATTCTGCCCCATTTCGTCAAAAAATGACACAAGGAGAGTACCCGATGTGTCAAAATCGGACGCAGAGGGAATTTTGGAAAAGCGTCAGTATGTGACGACTCGGGAGTGAGAATGGGTTGGCTAACCCTAGCTGGCCCTGTGTATTTGTGTATTTAAAATGGTTGTTTATCTATATGTGGTCCTGTGATGGAGTGGCAGAATGCCCACAGTGTACCCTGCCTTTTGCCAATGACTATTGAAGTTCCCTGCAACCCATCAAGTTATAAATAGAGTTATGGATGGTTACCTGACATTATATGCAATGCAATTTTGTTTCAGCTCAGAACATTGTTTTGTGCCAATTCACACAAAAAAAAACCAATGGCACTGCATAAAAAGTGTCTACTTCAAATCTAAACTATGGTGTTCAACTCATTTACAGCTCAGTTAAAAGTTCACATTTACATCAATGACCTAACCTTTAATTAAGTCCAGGAATATCGTTACGTTTTATGAAAATTTTAAGGCCAAAGTTTTGTCAGCTCATCCACCTTGTTTCAGTTAAAGCAAAAGAAACAGTATGTTGGTTTTGATCATTTAGATTGTGCTACTATCAGTGTAAGCTGCAATATTTAGCTTTATTATACTGTTAATATACACATTTAATGTGATGTCCTTTGAGGAAATTGCTGCTGTCTTGCACAGTTGGTCTGTTGTGTAATTTTGGAGGAATTTTTTAGCTGATATTTTTGTGGGGCGAATGATTGTCTTCATCAACAAAAGACTGTCTTTTTTTAATAATGGTACCTGAAATATCCTAAACATGTACAAGTGTAATTATTTTTCCAGTTCATTAAACATTATTAAGATGTTAACTAAAGGTTGTTTTAAGACCAGTGAAACACATCATTAATCCTATTGTGTGTAATGCTATCAACATCAGTGTTCCTACAAAAAGCCTGTCCTAAACATTTGCAATACATACATTTATTTCACAGCCAAGTTATTTTTGTTGTGTCCCCTTGTGTGCAATGGATCCATGGTTATACCCTAATCCCTTTGTCCACCAGAGAGACAGAACATTTTCAAGCTAATGCAACTGGACCCTCACTAATGACACCAAATAGCCCAGTCGGCTACATGACAACAGCTGAGAACAATACTGAATGCTGACATCACTTGCTATGAGAATCTATTTCAGGTTTCTTCCTTTTATAGTGAGCTGTTTCAAACTGCTTGCCTGCTCCCAGGACAAAGCACGTATAAAAACATGAAAAGAGGAGGTGGTCCTTGTGCTACACACTTTCAGTTCTCTTCAAGTACCTGCTTACATCTCACTCCCTTAACAATATGCCACCAAAGAAGATTGAACCAAAGAAACCTGAGCCCAAAAAGCCTGAACCTAAGAAAGATGCGGCCCCAGCAGCTAAGCCAGCGCCAGCTCCAGAGCCGCAACCTGAGCCACCGAAGGAGCCTCCGTTTGACCCCAAAAGCATCACTATTGAGTACTCCTCTGACCAGATCGAGGAGTTCAAAGAAGCCTTCACCTTATTCGACCGCACTCCAACTGGAGAAATGAAGATCACCTATGCTCAGTGCGGGGATGTGATGCGAGCTCTGGGTCAGAACCCCACCAATGCAGATGTGCTTAAGGTGCTTGGAAAACCACGTCCAGAGGACATGAACAATAAAATGTTGGACTTTGAGACTTTCTTGCCAATGCTGCAGCACATTTCTCGTGCAAAAGACCAGGGCAACTTTGAGGATTTCGTCGAGGGGCTCAGGGTTTTTGACAAGGAAGGCAACGGTACCATCATGGGAGCAGAGCTGCGCCACGTGCTGGCAACACTTGGAGAGAGGATGACAGAAGACGAAGTGGACAGATTGATGGCGGGACAAGAGGATGCCAACGGATGTATCAATTATGCCTCCTTTGTAAAGCACATTCTTTCTGGTTAACAAGGACATTYGGCCACAGAGACTTAAATTTCCATCCTTTTTCTYTGCCTATTGGATTTGTTATCTATTTACAGTACAGGAGATTGTGAACTAATCAGTAACATCATTTTTATGCTGTCAAATCTGGAAGTTCCCAGCAAAATATGTCAGCTGCAAGACATATTTGTTCTACCATGAAATAACAGTGATTCGACATGGACTTGAATAAAGAAAAATCTAATAATAAATAAAATATGGTTATCACTTGTTTCACAAATGTCTTTTCAATGTGCATAACATTTAAATTAGACCAAAAAATAGAAACAATGCTTATGAAATGACACATTGTTTATTCTACAATAACTTTACTAATGCAAATTCTCACTCATCTCCTAGAACAAATAAAATAATAATAATAATAATAATAATAATAAATAAACAGATTTATCTTGATCAGAAAATAAACTGTTAATTGCTTTTACTGTGCTTTAAACAAAGAACATTTCACCAAGTGTCCTTTCTTTGCAAGTGCAGATCAGCTGCTTTGAATCCACATATATATCTTTGAAGTAGACAAAACACACACACTCACACAAACACACACTCTCCCTATTTGACAATCCCAAGACAGGTGCACCAAGGACAGACCCCATCATATTGTTTGCAGAGCTGGCAGGCCTGTTAGTGGTGGCTTTGGAAGGTAAATAACAAATGTATATAAAGTGAACGATGTATGAATAGAACATTAACCAGAGGGGTTTTAGGTTGTATTGTGTTGGAAAAGTGCACTTTTCTTGAAAGTATCCACCCTGTGGAAGAGTGGTTAGGGGAGTTGTCCTGTAACCGGAGGGYTGCCAGTTAGATTCCTCCACTCTGTTTGTCTCAGTCGTTGTTTCCTTGGGCAAGACACTTCACCTACCTTCTCTACAGATGGTGGTCAGAGGGTCCATAGCTCTGATGCATGGAAGCCTTGCCTCTGTCAGTCTGCCCCATGGCATCTGTGGCTACGGTATAGCTCACCACCATTGGTGTATGAATGTTGTATATAGGTGAATGTCTGTGTAAAATTTAAAGAGCTTTGAAGTTTGTAGGGACTTGATAAGGTGCTAGAAGTTCAGTCCATTTATCATTTCATTAATTACAGACAGCCTGAGAAGTTATCGAGCGAAAAGTTTTGACTGAAAAGAAAATGTGTTTAAAATTTATATTTTAGTGCAAATAAGAGTCAGACCTCATGCCATTTTGGAAACAACAAAACAAATAGATGAAAATAATAAAAATAATAATTAAAATAATAATAAAAGTACAAAAATAAAACAATATAAACGTAAAAAATAATATAAAGATTCAAAGTCGTTGTCATTGTCACGACTCATTTTATTTTCAAGCAGCTTGATGGAAATGATAGATGCCTGATGAAAAAAACTAGTTYTGAGAGCCAACTTGAGATGCAAAAGCACGTTCTTGTCCGCTTTTTGCCTTTTTTTTCTTTGACTGTCTWACATTTGCATTTGTGTGGCTCATGTGCCCTAGTTGAGGATGGGACCACAATAAAAGGTCAAAACMCATTCATTTCTCTAATTAACAGTTAACTATAAATATGTAACACACTAGATTTATTATTTATTTTTGCGTAGCTGCGAAAGGAGTAAAAAGACACAGCTAAATAGGCAGAAGTGGCACTTACTCTTTACAGCTGTCAAGTAGATGCAAAAGAGGTTCTAAGTGTGCTGGGCACCCAGCTCCATAACTAGTTGAGAGCTGGCCAGAAAATTTAGACTCATCGACATTAATCAGCAGCTGTTACCTTTAAAGTCCTTTGTCGAATATGTAGAGCCTCTGGCTGTGAGGGGCACAACAGCTTGTGTATTTAAGTTTTAATGTTAGCCGTGGAGAGCAATCCCTGTACAAAAGGTGGACACAACATGGTAAATATAAGTGTCAGGAAGGTAGGGCTACTTGCATAATTTTCATTGCCATGGTTTTGCCACTGCAGGGAGTTTCGGAGGGCAGTATATTAAAATGTCAGCTAAATAAACTGCTCTCTGTATGGCTCTTGCTGCCTAGGTGGAAGCATAAAACACCACAGCACACACAAACATTTACACAGAATTATCAAACGGCTGTGTTTTGCCTGAGTTTAAAGCGCTAATTTGTGAGATTTTCATATTTTTCCAAAGGCTGCGTGGGGCAGCCATGCAGYTAAAATGATATCTCACTGTATCTTACTTTGGGCAGTCAAATTTTGTAATTACTGGTTTATGTCATTAATGATTTTCTTTTCTGATTATAGAATAAAAGTTATTGAATAATAACTTATTAGGAATGGATACCACCACAAATAACCCTTTATGAAGTGTAGAATTATGATCAAATTGCAAATGAGACATCTAATTTCCATTTTCCTTGCAATTTTCAGAAAACAGGCACATTTTTGGCAAAGAATGCACAATTTAATTATTTTTAACTCAGTGGTTCCATATTTTTATAAAATTAATGAGAATAAAAATGACTATTATTTTTAACAACAACTTTGAATATGTAAACCTGTAATTCAAAGAAGAAATGCCAAAGATCAGGTAAAACGTTCATTAACAGCTCATCAATTTTCATAGGTAGCAAGAAAATCTGTTTCTAATAAGAAAAGAAACTCATTTGCCAACCGGTCTGTTTGGTTTTATTATTACAGGTGCAGACCACATTCAARGCAACTAGGACTTGATTGGAGTTATCTCTGATGAGGTAGAATTTCTTTAATAATGTTGCGCATGTGATGAAACAGCCAAGTCTCCTCTGTAGATGAAAATAATTATATTTACTTTAGATTGCAGCTTCGTTCCACAAGCAACATGATTTTATTTGACTTAACATTAAATTACACTTGTCTTTGATCTTCACATTCACTTTTACAGGTCGCGGAGATTTTTGCAGGTTTCTTTTTCTTTCTTTTTTTTTACTGACATTTAAGGACAAAAATCTCTCACCAAACTGAAGTCGTTACTTTAGTTAATTATCTTTTGATGTTTACTGCAGGTGATTTTTTTTTTCTTTTTTGAGGGTGTCCTCCAAGCATTACTCATACAGTATGTGTGACACAGACAAAAGTGCTACAAAAATATTTTTAAATGCATCATTAATGGTGATCACTCTTTTCAAATAAATTGCCTTTGCCAAAACGTTCCTTTTTCATAAACGCTCCTCAATTAAAAAAATAAATAAAAAATAAAAAAAACTTTGAGGCAAAGAGTACAGGCTTACATTATTTTCTGAAACTGTTGTAAAAGCAGTAATGCTGAAAAGTGAAGTTGCTAAAATATACTTGGTTAGCTTTGGGAAAACATACTATAGGATTTATTTTAGAATGACATTTTTGTTGTTCTTTTTGACTTATATGAAGTCAAGTTATTGCTCATCTGTTCGACTGTTCCATATGATTTTAAACTGTAATTGTGTTTTGATTTAAAATGTATTTTAAGTACTTAAAAATGGAATAGTTCTATGTAATGATGCTCATTTCCTTCAAAATATGTTGTATAATGTTTTCAATTGCAATAACATTGCAAGGATTTCTTTTAATGTAGAAATCCATTTTTGTTTTACTTCTACTTCTATGTTTGAACTAAACACATAGGGATAAATGCATCATTTAAAAGCCATAACACAAATGATTCATGATGTCAGTACAGTCTGCAGCCATTAGATAAGCCTTTTTTAGTACAGTGTGCTTTATGGAACACTGCAGAAAAGASCCCCTATAAACAGGCTCCATCCTCAAAGCTGTTTTCATTAACGTTCATTACACACGTGCTGTCCAGCAATCAATACTCCTTCACCTTGTGCAGCCTAACAGCCGGATTAGAAGCTGCTCTAAGGGCAATAATGAGGAGAGTGTGAGCTTGCTTTCTGCAGACAAGTGAGTTTATATTGCTCTTTGAAAACAATTATTATCAGGAGATTTATATTATAATGTTGATGAAAATATAAGCACAGAAAGATAATATTTATTGTATTTGTGAATATATAATTGTTTTTATTTATTTGAAAAACAAATCTATGTTAAAAAACCTCCAAATTGTGCCTAATTCTTTGAAATGCATGAAAATGGAGGGTTCTTCACATTCTTTGGATTGCGTGTTTTGAAGCAAAGAGTGATGAAAAAATGTTGTTTCTGGGAACGTATGAAAAATGTCCCTTTGTTTTCTTTTAGATCATATGTATCTGTGATTTTAACAGATTAATTATTATTTTTATTATCATTATTATTATTTTGGTCATTGTGTACTTTATCTATGTGTTCTCTGTTTGGTTCTGTTTTCTGTTCATGATCATGTCATGCTTCCCAACACCTGGCTGTCCCTGCATTACTTAGGTTGATTAGTTTGTCTTTATATTCTCTGTTGGTTTGTCTCTTCCTTGGTTTGACATTGCACACTTTATGTGTCAGACGTTAGCTTTGTTTGGTAAAGGTTGCTGCCTCATCAGTGTTTCAGCTTGAAGATTAAAGCAAGTCATGTTTAAGAGGGTCTGCACTTTGGTTCGAATCTCTACAAAACTGTGACCGTATTTTTGGGTGAATATTGGCTGAATATAATTGTGACCAGCTCTCCAACTCCAAATGCACAACCTCCTCCACACTTTCCAAACACTAGATTTAAAAGTATATCTTATAGTGAGAAGGTCTGATTTGCAGTGGAGGGGAAAAAAAGGTCACTTTATGAAGTCAGAGCTGAGTTATCCAAGATACCCATCTTTATCTCCAGCCAATACTTGACCTCAGTCTACTAAAGACCACTCTGGGTATTTTCTTTCATTCAGCGCTTCAGATAGCAAATGTTCTGTCAGCCTTCCTGTGCAGCATACACTCTAAAAATGAAATGTTGGATTTACTTAACCATGTTATGTTACCTGGTTCCACTTAACTGAGTGGAGTAAATTCAAAGCAACATACTCATGTTCTTTGGCTAAAAAACTGGTATATTGCTTTGAATTTACTCAACTCAGTTAAGTGGAACCAGGTCACATAACATGGTTAAGTAAATCCAATTTTTTACAGTGTACATCCTTCCATCAACCCATGGATGAAGAGGTCGTACAAGCAATGGCTAAGTTTTACATTGGACTGTAATGTTTCAGCAAAAATGTAGCTCGTCTATGTGCTGCAATCACTTTTGATTAAACTTTTTTCAGGTCATACTATTCTATACTGAACTTGCATGTATTTAAAAACATCACATCGTTGCTCAATTGTAGATACAAAAAAGTAATTATGTGAT